TCAATTGTTCATAGCTCAACGCATCAATTTACAGTACTAATTTAAGTCATGTTAAGGTTAAGCGCATGGAGGTAGGTCATAGACTCAAAATAGAAAAAGATCACATTGCGTAAGATTTACTCATTCCTTATGTCCATCCACCAGAAAATGGGAAGATACACATAAATCAGTGGAGAAGAGGAGCTTTGCCTCCTCCATATTCTTATTAATTGGAAATCAAGTTTTGGGAAAATGCCAAATAGGAACTCGTGGATAGTAAACCATGAGCGTGACATTAGATATATAGTTGGGCGGTCGACAGATCAACAGCAACATCAACATTCCAATCCAACTAAACTCATGGTTACGAGACTGGCTTCAAAACATACATTTTGCATGCATGAGAGCCCACGGTGGCTGTCAAGTTTCCAACAAATCGTGCCTTCAATGTCTTGTGCTGCATGAAAGAGACATATCAGTAAATATCTCACAATACAATATGGCTGCAACGGAGTAGGAAGAACTGAGAAAGAATGCTAATTACGGCCTTATGTTAGACCATATAATTATAGGTTATACCTCCCAAAGGTCTCTTGCTTCAACAACACTGTTTGTGGGGATTCCAACATCATCCCAGTTAGCTGTAATGGAAGTTCGCGAAGGGCCTTGGTTGACAAGGAGTAAAGCTACTCTGTAGCCTGAGAGCGGACCAGCCCAAACCTGTTCAAAGTACATAAAATTGAGAGTCGATCAATCTCACAGACAGTGACAGAATTCTTACGGAAGCAGAACAGCAGCCTACATATATCAGAAGAGATTGCTGGCATTTTCAGTTTTACCTCAAGATCTCCTTCCATTCTGACCTTTTTGGCTTGCACACCAAGTGGATCTGTTACAGTTAATCAACACAAATTTACAATTCTGGGTTCTATTAATGCAAACTCGTTCAGTCACCAGGAAGGAAAACAAGTGTCTATCTAAAGGTTGTAGTTAGTTACCTTGGTTTACAGAGATAACTTCTTTATTTGCAACGATCTCCATTGTCTCTTTTGTGATATTCCTCACATCACAACCAAGAAGAAGGGGAGCCTGCAGCATGGCTTATGCATTACCAAACCGATGACCTTAAACTGCACATATCATATAAAAGAAGAGAAAATGTTTATGGTACCTTAGAAATGGCCCATATGCTAAAATGGACTACATATTCATCTTTTGTCATTCCTCC